CTAATTCTACTCTTTTTTGCTCTCTTGTTTTCTGTTTCCTTTTCTTTCTTTTTTTGGTCTACAGTGTGGACTCTTTGAATCTATATCTCAGAATTACCCTTTCTGACTGACAGGTTCTCACCATATTTTCTCTCCATCATAACATGGGAAAAATGTTTCCTCCTCCTCTAAATCTAACATCTATTTATTTGAAATTATATTTCTTGTAAAGGCTTCTCAAAAAAAAGCTGTGCTTCAAAATGCCCGTAACAATAATAATTCTTAAGCGATATGCCTAAAATAAATTGTCAGTACTGTTACTCACAATACGTTGGGAAAACTTGCAGAAATTTATAAAAAAAAATGCATCTATAAACTGAGAAGCAATCTTACACACAATAATTTATCAAATGCATTAGTTATACATAAAAATAAATTCAGCCACAGCTTTACCCTAAAGAATGCCACACTTATCAGAAGAAAATTTACTAAGAAGGAAAATTCACAAGTGTGCCACTATCTCCTCTTGTCAAAATATAAATCTGCTCCCCGATTTTTTTTCCACTGTCTTCCTTCCTTAATGTTTTCCTACTGTCCCAACCCATGATACATGACGACAAAAATGTTTAAAAAAATAGAAGAAAGCAGTTAAACATATGACCTCATGTTATTCAAAATATATAATTCATGAATTAATCTCCATCTAAATTAATTTAAATATTAATTTGCACAAAAGAATATTGTAAAACTTCACTGATTCTCTTTTGTTTATTAGACATTGAATTTATAAGTTCATGTAAAAGGATATTTGTCTGACGTTTTACCTCACTTTATGAATATTTATAAGCGTTCCTAAACTAAAAGGAGTTTGGAAAAAAAAAAAAAAAAAGACAATAAAGTTTTTACTTTTGTATTAAAATAATTCTTATAAAATAATTTTCTTGCATTTGCCTTGTTTATCAAGGCAAATACAGAAGACGAAAGGCTGGCAGTTTTCCTTTTGTATTAGTCATATTTTCTTTTTACAGATAGAAACAATCAGAAAACTCCCCACTCTTCTCTTTCTCTCTCATTCTCTTTCACAACGTGTTTTGTTCTATCTCATTCTCTTTCACTCACTCTCTTTTCGCTCACCTCTCACACTCTTTCCTCTCTTTCGCTCTCTCACCTCTCACTCCCCTCTCTGTCTCTCATTCTCTCTCTTTCGCTAGATAGACCACCTCACACATTCTAGAGGGAACTCATTCCTCATTTGAGAAAAAGTCAAACAATTGCTCCTCAATATCTTGTGTAGATTGTTTTTGTTTTCTCATTCTTCAAATCTTTCAGGACATTACAAATTCTCTTTCCACATGGGTTATAAAATTTGTTTATCTTAGACATATTTTTTAATTTTTCATTTCTCTTTAGAATTTATTTTTCCTCTCCTTCTATTTTTCTTTTCTTATTTCCTCAGTTTGCTTTTTCGTTTCCTTCCAAACGTTTTATTCATTTTTGAAGACTCATTATCACTCTGTCAGTCAGCAAAATATTTTCCATGGACAAACACAAATTTTGTACCAATCTTTGCAATCAGGAAAACTACTAATAAAAATAATATTTGAGCTCTCTTTATCAGGAAACATTCAGTATTAATGACAGCCAATTAATAGAATGAAACCACACACACAGTTTCACCACACACCATATACATAACCACACACACACCACTCACACACTCAGTTCCACCACACACATTCCACCACCACTCACACACCACCACATCTGCAAAACCTCCACACACTCACCACACATTCTCTTTCACTCACTCACACATTCTCTAGGAAAATAAATCGTAAATTTTTAAATCCATAGTTTTAACGAATTGATATGAAGAGGAAATTAATTAGAAACAGATTAAAACAAGATAGTATACACAATTTAAAAAAAAAAAAATCTAACAGGGTTCTTTGCTTGCCGAAGATATATATGGTTGCATACTTTCAAAATAGACCAAGAGAATTACTTTGAAATAGCTTTCTTGGATTGTTGAAAGGAAATTCTTTGAAGTGTCACGAGCTTGTTTAAAAGCCGATAATATAACTGGCACGTAATTTTTTTACACGGGCTACAACTTGAACGATGGTCGCGAGGAACTGAAACGAAACCTTTCCCATAATTTAGACAATTTATTTTAAGCGTTTAACCCCAAGCAATACCGGAGTGCAACTAGTAAGCAAGAGGTTACAGAGAGTGTAAATAAGGGAAAAGACTGGGTATAGATTGGAGGAGGGGAGGAAAGGATATAAAGACGAATAGAGGAGGACATAGGTAAGAACGGGGATCAAGGAAACAGAATACATCGACTGACATGACATTGAAATTAATGAAAATTATAGTTATCAGGGAAGCAAGTAAGAGGAAGGGAGTTACACTGTCGGGAAGTGAGAGAGAAAATGCTGTTGGAATAGAAGGGGGGGTTACATTTACCTGTTTTGACAGTGAAAGTGTGGGACCGAGATGTCAACCTAGTAGAACGCTGAAATTCATGCATTCGGAGCACCAGTGAAAATGGCTCTTTAGAGAAGATGACATGAAAATATTTACAGAAAAGACAGAGAGAAGCCACATTACGTCGGTGAGAATGTGACTGGGTTTGAGATCCCAAGTCAGGGCCGACCACATTGCATATCAGGTTTTGGATTATCTCGAAAACAAACAGATGAATTGCGGGAGCACCAGAACCTATATGACAAAAGTCTTATTAATTCAATTTTGATCTTTGTTTTATATCAGAATAAATTTCGCACAGACTCGCTACTTCTTTTTCTTTATTCTTCTTGACTTAAAGACTAATTTCTGTGAAGACAAGTTTTTCATCGGTTTAGAGAATTCTTGACTCAAAGACTAATTTCTGTGAAGACAAGTTTTTCATCGGTTTAGAGAATTCTTGACTCAAAGACTAATTTCTGTGAAGACAAGTTTTTCATCGGTTTAGAGAATTCTTGACTCAAAGACTAATTTCTGTGAAGACAAGTTTTTCATCGGTTTAGAGAATTCTTGACTCAAAGACTAATTTCTGTGAAGACAAGTTTTTCATCGGTTTAGAGAAATTTTCACATAGGCTCGGGAATTCCTTTCCATGTTTTTCTTCCTTGCTCCGAATTTGAAGGGGATGAGAAAAATTAAGTAATTATTTCGAAATCACTTCCCGTTTTAGTCGCCGTGCATTTTTCTCTAACTCGATTAAATTCTAATAAGAGAAGCTCGATCACCAGATTAGCTGTAATATTTTTTTTAATCATGTTGCATTTCGATATTAACAATTCACGGTTATTTCTTTTACACCGTTTTTAAAATTATTTTTGTCTTGTGTCCATTTTTACCGATATAACTACATTTTGGTCCCCTTCAAATATAATTTCGGAAAATTTAAAATAAAAAAAAAAACAGTTCCTAAATCACGAGAAATAAAGTTACAAGTAAAATAAGCGTTTACTAGAAAAGGTAAAGAAAACCAGCGCAAGGAAATTATGCACAGATAATCTAAAAAACTATTAGATACGTATATGGACATGATTAGGAAGAGGTCACGGGAAAAATAATACTGGATTATTTAGTATTGCTTTCAAGTACGGACGTGACAGGAACGATTACAGCAATTAAAACTGACAAAGCTAAGGTTTGCGGGGGGAAAGCTGACACAATAATGACTGAATATCACCCCTGAGAGATAAAATAAATAAATAATCCATGGCAAATAAAAACGACTTGGATGCAATCCTGTAAACAATTACTATCAACAAAGACTAGAAGCTGACAAAGGAAATAAAATATAATAATATGAGAGCGAGAAAACGGAATGGTCATAAACAAGGAAAGAGGACTTGCTGAATAGGCATAAATAAAACAGCGCGCCATAAGGTCACGATTACGATTCTCATAATTCATTAGAGACTTAGTGGCGCCACATGTCCCGCAGTTGCGGTAGAAGTTGTGTGTCTTGTCCAAGATAGCCTGACGGAGGTTATCCCTCTCCAGGTTTGAATTCAGAGCTTTACTTCTCCTGAACCGGTTACCACTCAATGCTATTTAACCCAGTCTGTCTTGTTCTTTACCCACAGCTACGAAGAGAACAGATGGACTCATACCTTTCACATGGAAACGAATGTAAGAAACTCGACTGGAATTCGAACTCAGCTCTCTGATTCCTCAATACGACCCACAATCTATTACTCCACCGTGACTGTCACCCCTAGGTGAAGGCGAACAACGACGAACAAAATGTAAAATGTGCAAAGAGCGTTTCCGAGAGCCGAGAAAACTGGACAATGGATGGAAATTAGAATCCTGGTCATAAGAATTGGCGCACTAGAACAAATGATGGTAGGGTGGTTAATTTTGTTTGATGCCGAAATGTAAATATTTTGTGCGCATGTTTTTTTTTTAAGATAATGCTTTTTGTGATACAAGTAAAAAAAAAAAAAATCTTTTTCTCCACTATTTGGGTGCTCTCAAATTTCTTCCACTTCCACCAAAACATGAGATTTGAACAGCATTATCTTTGACGGTCGTACTGCTTGAAATGAACTGAGAAATTTGGTATGAGCTACCATTTTCTGCTAATAATCTTGTACAGTCAAAAGAGACACCCGTTCAGTTAGATTTTATTGATTAGTCGATAGGTTCGTTTTCTACGGTCTATCAACCCTTCACAGGTTATTTTAAGCCAAAAAATATTCTTAGATTGTAAGAATTTTATTTTGGGGACAATGTTTTAGTGATACAAGTTTTACTAATTAACACATAGAAAAGGTTGATTCACACCGTTTCCAAGCGTATCTGCGCGAAATTGAATATAACGATCCCAACTGGAATTGGAACTCGACTCTCCGATTCACAATTCCGAGGCATTTATCCATGACAACGTCCGTGCATCCAAGTCTACAGCAATTGCTTTAAAAAAACCAAAAAAACAGACATCCATGAAGTAACTGATGACGCTCCACGTTGTTTAACTTGATCGTCCGGGAAGTGGTGTTTCATTGATGGGCCGTGAGATTGAACTTGGAATCGTGAACGCGCTCCAACCGTGAACATTTGGAATCGTGAACGCGTTGTGGCCGTGAGACACTTGGAATCGTGAACGCGCTGTGGCCGTGAGACACGGAATCGTGAACGCGCTGTTTAATAATGGAGACACTTGAATCGTGAACGCGCTGTGGCCGTGAGACACTTGGAATCGTGAACGCGCTGTGGCCGTGAGACACTTGGAATCGTGAACGCGCTGTATATGTGAGAGACTTGAATTTTTTTCGTTTAGAACTCGCTGTGAAATTGAGACACTTGAATCGGAAATTCGCTGGGCCGTGAGAAATTTGAATCGTGAACGCGCTGTGGCCGTGAGACAATTTGGAATCGTGAACGCGTTCGATTGGCCGTGAGACACGTTTGAATCGTGAACGCGCTGTGGCCGAGACACTTGGAATCGTGAACGCGCTGTGGCCGTGAGACTTTTGGAATCGTGAACGCGCTGATTATTGAGACATTTGGAATCGTGAATTATGGCCGTGATTTTCGCCGCTTTTTCGTGAAACGTTTTAAACGTGAGACTTGGAATCGAACGGTGGTTGCCGAGTCATTTTGAATCGTGAACGCGCTGTGGCTGTGAGACACTTGGAAGGTGTCATTTATAGTTGAGACACTTGGAATCGTGAACGCGCTGTGGCCGTGAGACACTTGAATCGTGAACGCGCTCGTGGCCGTGGAGACACTTGGAATGATGAACGCGCTGTGGCCCTGAGACACTTGGAATCGTGATTTCGCTGTGGCAATGTGAGACACTTGGAATCGTGAACGCGCTGTGGCCGTGAGACACTTGGAATCGTGAACGCGCTGTGGCCGTGAGACACTTGGAATCGTGAACGCGCTGTGGCCGTGAGACACTTGGAATCATGAATTTTGTGTTTTTGGAGACACTAAGGAATCGTGAACGCGCTGATCTTATGAGACTACTTGGAATCGTGAACGCGCTCATTTCATGAGAACTTGGAATCGTGAACGCGCTTGGATATGAGTCACTTAGAATCGTGAACGCGCTGTGGCCGTTGAGTCAGTTTGGAATCGTGAACGCTTGTAATAATTAAACTTGCTGCAGTTGAGTCAAACAAGGACATTTAGGAAAGATTGAGTGACAGGACCTTTATTAAGACTCATTCGTTCTTTTTTTTTAATAATTGTCTAGAAAATAGAAGACACAATATCCATTCAAAGGTTTACTAAAAATGCAGTTGTTGTATAAACCTCAGAGAAGTGGGCTAAGAAGTTCAGATTATAGTGATATGTAGGAATGTCTGCGATTAACCGTCCAAAATTGTAGCGATAGGGGAATCATTCGCTCTCTAGACTGTTTCATAAAGTAGCATTTCTTGGAAAGAAGCTAAACATCCTTACCATTGGAATACGAAAAGAATGGTTGAGATTTGTCAGCGTACGCGGCATGATAGTTCTTAGCTGTGGATGTCTGAACTGGTGGAAATATAACTCGTCAGATAATGTGCCATAGAAATACCGATATGGTAGCAGGTGGTTTTCTACGTTTGGTCCTTGAGAAAGAGGTTATAAGGTGGCGCAAATATATTTAATCACCCACAAGGCCGTATAGACGCTTTTGAACTCCATCAAGGCTAGAAAGTGAAGACTGGACAAATATGGCAGCAATAGACCATTTTCATAATATCTGGTTTTTTCGGGGGGAAAATAACATAGAAGCAGAGTCAAGTATACGAAGGATGGCAAAAGTAACTGAGCATTGTGATAGAAGTTTACTCATAGATCGTATACATGTAATTCACTTGAGGCCCGGATTGAAGCAGTGCCCCGATAGAAAGTCGCATCGATTTTAGTGATAACCACTGAAAAACCGATGTTAGTCAAATAATAATATTAATAATGATGAATATCAATTCAGTTCTTCAATGAAGACCTTTCTGAATACCTGAAAGACTTCTTCGTTGTCTACCCAATCGCTATACATTATATTTTATTTTCGGCTCGAGTGTTGTTTTTTTTTATTTCTTCTTTGAAAGAAGCCGACCCATATTTACATTCATCATCTGCTATTCCCTGCGTGAATTGCCATCTATAGCCTCGTTCCTAAACTCCCCCTCCACATCAGGACGTTTTTTTTTCCTTATAAATTCCTTAAAGGTTTCCTCAAGTGATTTATCGCTTCCTTGATTAGTACCACTCGTCCGCCCAATCATTTCACAAGAATTTATTTCATTGTATTTTTTTTCTTTATCGCTTTATGCTCGTCAAAAGTTGGAAGTGGGGGAGCTCTTGGCATTTATTCAGATTTGTTATTTGCGATATTTTTTTAGTATCATCAAGACTTTAGCAAGGCAATTTGTTTCCTATCTGTATTGGGTTTTGTTGATTTTGGCCTTCACCCTAAGTTTCCTACTATTACGAAGAAGAAGAAGAAGAATGAAGACTGAGACAATAAAAAATAAAACTAAGAAACACAGAAGTTTAAGAATTAGAAGAACTGCTCTAATCAACAACAGCAACTATATTCCTACTACTACTACTACTAACAATAATAATACCACGACCTTGTTTTATTCAGCAATAATGCTTCAGCGAGAGCTGAAAATTTGAAAATTACTCTGGCGGTAAATCAAGCAATGACAAACATGTATTGTTTTTAGATTCAATGAAATATATATACACATATATAAAATATTAATAACCCTAATACCTAGGAGATGCTACCATTTTAAGAGGAATAATATCAATATATATTTGATTGTACCCCGAATAATACTAGAAGTTTATTAATGCTAGTCATACACACACACACACACATATATATGAGTCTGTGATATATGCATATATGTATGTGAATGATCGGTATATGAGTTTTATATATATATATATATATATATATATATATATTGGCGTATATGTATGTTATTTATTTACTTTTATAATACTAAACTCTCTCTCTCTCTAATATATATATATATATATATATATATATATATATATATATATATATATACACATACATACATATATTAATTCATGGATGCATACATATATATATATATATATATATATCTCACACTATATACAGATACAATATATTTTTAAAGACATTTTTTTTTTATGTTTAACGTTGTTATTTATAGATACAAGTATTTAAGCAAATGCTCTGTTTATGATAAACAGTATTAAATAACATTTACCGTCCTGAATGTCGAGAAATTTTCATAGAAAATATTCGTTCTTTGACAGGATTCGAACCTGCATCCTATACGGAACCGTCATTTACGCTGACGTGCCTTACCTCTGGGCCACAAAGAACCTTTCGGTAGACAAGGTCGAATTTACTGCTTATAAACTTCAATCTTCCATGAATCTCGTACATTCATAACTGCTCTGGCGTATCAATAAATAACAACGTTAAACATAAAATGTCTTTAATAAATAAATTGACGGACCTTATCCATTTATATATATATTATATATATATATATATATATATATATATATATATATATATATATATATATTAATTATATAATATAGAGAGATTTATTTAACATAAAAATTAAATAAATATATTTATTTTGTGGCCTCGTTCCTAATATTATTTAAATATGACGTCACGCTAGACTAATTCAAATGTTCAGCTTCCCAAAGTACGCCAGGTCGCAGTCCTGATAATGACTGCAAAAGAGGAATGTATTTGAACAGAACAACAAAATATGAACTTCAGACATTTTATCCACAACTTCGTGTGCAATAATCAACTCCCTATATGGAAATTAGAAAAAATAAAACGTAAAAACACACCTTGTCAGTTCTTTTTAATCAAACGTTTTCGGACGATTACTTGCTACCTAAATATAATTCGTACGTGTTATAAAGGGCTCAGTATCAGAGTAGAAAAATAAAACGTGTAAAGCAGTTTAATATCCTAAAATAATAAAACGCTGAATGAAATATTGAATTTTCGACCGTCAAGGTTTCATCAATTGGTTAACTCAGCGAAATAATGAGAGGAATTCTCTCTCTCTCTCTCTATATATATATATATATATATATATATAGAGAGAGAGAGAGAGAGGAGATATACACAGGGAGAGAGAATCCACAACGCTACTCTGCACTCAATTTTGAGCTCCATAAACCTGTCCATGATTGTATATTCTGCGGGTCTCCAGGTTTACATACGGTTTTAAATTCTGCATTTTCTCTCTCGTAATTACGTTACCCACCTATTTGAAGTTTTCAAAACAACTTTTGTCTTCGTTAATTCATTTGAAGTTTCTGTAATTCTAATTTTTGCCGGGAGATGCGTTTTATACGCCAGTAAGTGTGGTATTTCAAAAACGTGTCAACTGAGCACTTGAACTCGGAAAAATTTGAAAAGTATACTAAAAAAAAACATGAAGAAAACCACAAGAAAAACATCCCTATCTGAAATACAGAAATTTTTGCTCATGAGCACCTCTTACACACACATATATATATATATATATATATATATATATATATATATATATATATATATTCAATTAAGTTTTCTAAGAACAACTTTTTCTCTTAAGTTAGGTCTCTTAAGCGAATGTTTTCAAAAAAAATTTATATCAAATAGTAAGTAACGATTAAACAGACATAGCAATAATTATGATAAACTCTGGACAAACAGCGATTAGTTGCCTGATAGAAGGTGAAAACGGAACACAAAGAAAACAAGATCGACATTTACAGCGTTTTGAAGTATGACATTTGGAACATTTGACAAAGACTATTAAAAATGTAATTAGGATACTAGTGATCATTAGAACACGGGGATCTTGTAGAAAAACACTGAAATATTATTGCCGATATTGGACTGTGCTCTTAAGAAATAGAAAAAAAATCTTAGAAAAACCTTGTGGTTACAAAAATGTGGTTTTACTGAAGGATGCTATGAAAAGCATGAACGGGACGTGTTAGCAATCATGAAGATTTAATGATAATATAAACAATATTTATAATTAGAGGCGGTTGAAATTACTCGGAGACATAATGAAGAAAGAAGGCTTAGCAAATTTGACACTTACAGGACATATTGGAAACAAGGCCGACATTAGGAAGCAGCAATCAACCTACCAATTTTATAAATGTATTGAAGATCAAAAGGTGTAAGGAAAAGTCGCGAAGGACAATGTTTCCTGAAGAGACACAGAACATAAAAGAACATAGATTAATGTAACAATGAAATAATAAAAAAAAAATGTAAATTATTATCTGAGCAATACCAGTTTTACTGGTTTAATGCCCTCTCACTCACTCCACCACTAATAATGATATAAGTAATGATAAGTAATGATAAAATGGAGTCCATTATTATTGGCGCTTAAGTAGTAAGTATGGACGCGAACAGAAACATCACAGAAACAAACCAGATAATTAGATCTTATGAGATTTCAATATCCAGAGAACCACCAACAACATATTCTTTGAATAATAACAGAATTGGCTCCTTTGATATATATTTTAGTTTGTCTGTCTTCCTAAACAAATACGAATACGAATGGTCCATTGTTTATTTGAAGTTTGTGGGCAGGGGCTTATAAACAATTACATATTGTAACGAACGTTCTAATTAACTAAGCAACAAGCAAAAAAAAAATAATAGCAATAATAACTGTGAAATCAGTAAAATAATAAAACCGCTCGATATAAGGAGATAAATACTTCGAAATGCATTTATTACAATCTAAAAGAATGAAACAAGTAACAAAATAAAAACAAACTACTTGCAGATAAATGTAATATAAATATTTGCGCAAAGGACACCAGAAAAAAAATTCTCCTTTCTGCAATCCAAACTCATGTATAAATACAATCGTTGTAGATACAAAGAAAACATTCAAACACAGCAAAATAATGGTATATATATATATATATCAAAACAAAAAACAAATAAAGCAGGTTTGTAGAGACTAGAGTTAAAATGGTTGTAATTGGCATTGTGTA